GTGTATTTGATAGGACATTTCTCGTTGATGGATCTGAATTTTGAAAACGTATCGACATCTACGCTTGAATATCATTTGAACAGTGCTTTTAAATAGTTCCAAGTGAACTGACTCAATGTGAAAACCCACTTGATCTCAGAGAAATGAATCATATTCAATGAAGCCCAAGAAACATAAGAATAAAAAATTCTACAGCATAACCGAATGCGTTCGGATTTTGGCACAAAGTATCAGGAAAACTGAGAATGAAATTTATGCATTCCGCAAGTGTCCTCAAAGGTTTTAAAAATAAATCAGTATTTGATGACAAACTTGTAATGACAAAGCTTTTGTGCATCTTTGAAGTAGTCATCAATAACGGTATCTGCCGAGAAGAAGAGAGGATTTGATTTCAATTTCGTCAAATCCCAAAATTCAGGTTTCGGTTCCATATTTGCATAAGCAATACGACAGATTTCGTCATCGTGAGGTGCCAAGATCTATAAGAAGAAATGAATGATAATGATGCACTGAAATCGATTTGGATAATTTTCATCGAGTAGTTTCGATGTCAAATTTTTATTGAAAAGAAATTTGAAAGCCGACTTCATAGATCATTAATGTGAAATTGCAATCTCATTCAAAAATTCCTGACGATTTTCTACACAAGGTTCGATTTGATTGGAGTCTAAGAAAATATGAAAATTTATATCAAATGATGATCATAAGTCTGAATATGAGAGCATTTAAACCTGTGCTCCATTGGTCCAATACGCTTTGTAACCGTTGTCATACTTTGGATTGTGTGATGCCGTGATCATCAGACCAGCATCGCACTTCAGTTTTATTGTTGCATATGACTGGAAACGACACATAATTAATTTGATTAATCCTGATATTTCGCATATATCATCATTTTCGAGAGGCATTCCAAATTTGAAGAGATGATGAATATCAACCAAAAATATCAAATTGTAAGACGAGGATATCAATTGTAATAACAATAACTAAGGCACTCATCGTTATCACTATCGATGATAACAATAAATATGAATGAAATAGCCTTTTTGTTAGCTGAAGTAACACTTGATTTTAAAAACGAACCGTAACTGGTGTCGGGCATACTTCTGAGAACAGGTAAACCTTAATGCCATTGTGCACAAACACGTTTGCTGCTAGTTCAGCCCATCTGAATTTAGAAAACGAATGAAATAATTGGGATGCTGGAATTATTTTACGAAATCTAAATTGATTAATAAGAAGCCAGTTTCATTATCACGATGAGAAGAAAATCACTGCAAATAATAATTTCTTTACGGTTCGATGAAATCGACCGTTCAGAACACGCATCATCTCACTCACCTGCGACTGTTATGACGACCATCGTAACCGATCGCAACACCGTTACTTTCACGTTTGTATACCTCTTTGAGATGTAACGCAAAACCATTCGTTAACATCAGAATGGTTAAATCGTTCAGACGACTGAATCCTGCCTCCATACGTGATCGAATTCCTTCAGAACATTCATTAGTA